TGCTGCATGGTTAGCGGTTAGTGATGTTTTCTTAAGGATGTCGTTTATGTTAGGCTAGTAAATTGGTGTTGAGAATATAAATGAATTGATGTTCAATCCATTACAATGAAAAATATGCAGAATCCTTGGTGTTTCTACTAGCGAACTTCAACAAAGTTTCAATGTGGAGGCAATTGATTCAATAAAGGTTCCCCCACATTATGCGAGAAACCTTCTGGAGTATTGCTTTTTCAGGGCACTTGCACTGTCTACACAAAACACAGGCTATTTGGCTGATAAAAAATTTCGACGCCTGACATTTGACATGATGATAGCTTGGGAAGCCCCAGCAAGTTCTAGCCAACCTTTAGTTAATGTAAGTTTTTTGTTTCATAGGGTTTGCACGAGTCTTGATCTCTCAAACATAGATAGTTGAAATTGGAAAATGAATATAACCAGATCGTTAAGATGGTTCTTTTGATCCCATTTAGTAGTACACTTGGATCTTTTCAAACTTGCCAAAATTATGAATTTTCTGTGTGCTGTTTGCATAATATGAAAGTGCTACAATAAATTGCCTTAAACCTCTGGTTCACTGATTTTCCTTTTATCTGAACTGACCTACCAGCATGCAGGTTACTTTACCATGATGTTTTATATCACCGTTGCTGATTCTCATAGAATCACCTAGACTGTATGGCACTCACAGGATAATTTCTTCAACGGACGCCCATTTTTTCTGATTTCTGCCTGATTTTTTGATTTACCACAATGTACCAATTCCAGTCCTGCAGTAAAAATGATTATGAAAATTCTTGGTGTAAATGAGGATTCCTCGGCAGTGTCATTGTTGTGTTTAAATTATTGATATTTTGTATACAGAAGTTTACCTATCACTGACCTGTTTTACAGATTGACGAGGAGGCATCAGTTGGGGTGGAGGCTTTCTCTCGAATTGCTTCAGCAGTTCCCATAATCTCAAATGTGATCATAAGTGAAAATCTTTTTGAGGTGCTTACTTCATCAACTGGTGCTAGACTTCAGTTCTCTGTCTACGACAAGTACCTGAGTGGGCTAGAAAAGTAGGCACCTTTCAATTTTTTATATGAGATGTACTAAAATTTTGAACAGTGTGTCTCTAATTTGCTACTTTTTTAATAAGTTCTTATTGGTCTAATATTATATGTTCATCTTTATAGAGTGATTAGAAAAATGAAAACCCTATCAGAGTCCAACCTCCTTCATTCTGAAAGATCATTAAGGCAAGAGAAGATTTTAGAAGTGGATGGAACAGTCACCACACAACCAGTTCTTGAACATGTAGGAATTTCTACATGGCCGGGTAAGTCATGGATTAATTTTGTTTACTTCTTTTACCCTAGTTATTGAGGGAAAGTATTTTTTCAAGTGCAAAGGAATTTCACGAGTAGCCAGCGTATATGAAATAGTACTTTTGCAGGTCATACTGTTAAATTTCTATTTTCACCTCTTTATTTTATCTTCTGTGCAGGTAGGTTGGTTCTGACAGATCATGCACTTTACTTTGAAGCTCTTCGTGTTGTGTCGTATGACAAGGCAAAAAGATATGACTTATCCGATGATCTGAAACAGGTTATCAAACCTGAATTGACTGGACCATGGGGTACCCGGCTCTTCGATAAGGCAGTTCTGTATAAATCTGTTTCCTTGTAAGTAGATCATTACTTTCTTTTTGACAGGGCTGAGCTTGATTTGGCCAGTTCTTTAATACTACAAACATCTTGTATTTGACCAATAATAATATTGAGAGCAAAGTTTGATTTTCACCCCTTTTTTGGGTAAATGTGTACCTTGTAGATCAGAACCAGTTGTGATTGAGTTTCCTGAGCTTAAAGGCCATACTCGTCGAGATTTTTGGCTGGCGATTATTCTTGAGGTTTTTTATGTTCATAGATTTATTCACAAGTTCCAGATCAAGGGAATTCAAAGGAGTGAAGCTCTTTCAAGAGCTGTCCTTGGAATTGTTCGCTTGCAAGCCATTCAAGATATATGTTCTACAGCATCTCTTAGGTGTGAGTCGCTTCTCATGTTTAATCTCTGCGATCAGCTCCCAGGTGGGGACTTTATATTGGAAACCCTTGCAAATATGTCAGACATGAAAGAAAGTGACCGAACAAGCAAATCAAGTCGCGAGAAGGGAATGTATTCAATCTCCGCCTTAGACATAGTTTCTCAATTGGGATTTGGGATGGGAACAGCTTCAAATGATTCAAATGAGAATGAGCTTCTTGTGGGTGATATTGCTGTTGGAAAAATGACTCCTTTGGAAAGGGCAGTAAAGGAATCAAAAAACAATTATGAAAAGGTGGTGATGGCTCAAGAGACAGTTGATGGAGCAAAAGTAGATGGCATTGATACTAATTTGGCAGTGATGAAGGTATTGATCTTGCCTATTAGGAGATATGCATATATAAATTTATTTGAGAGTAGCTTTTTTTTTCTTTTTTTGGTTATTGTAGAATATTTAAGAGTGGCAACTAGACTATCGCTAGCTGCTACCACTCTTCTTAAGTTTTTAATGGATGATGATTCTGAATCGTTTCCGTTCAGAGCTGTCATATAATCTGGATGTTCTTTTCTAAAATTTTAGCCTCTATTGTTTACTCTGTTGTGGTGTAATGCAGGAATTAATGTTGCCAGTCAGTGAACTTGGAAAGTACCTTCTTTCTTTGGCATCATGGGAAGATCCTATGCAGTCTTTGGCATTCTGTTTGATCTCCAGTTACATTATCTACAGGTAAATGTAAAGATATAGAACTTGGGTTATAACTGTCTAAATGTGAACCGAAAGCCAGAAGGGTGGTTGTTATATTAATACGCATCAACTGAATTTTGTTGGTAAATCAACCTACAATAAGCAAGCAAAGCTGCCATATACAGCGATTAAGGCCTTCATCGTTCTCCAAGTTAAGTTGAAGCATTCCTGCCTGAAAATGTCAATAATCATCTTACTAGTACTTTACTTTTCACAGGGACTGGCTGGCCTACGCATTCTCTCTGTTACTCGTCTTCATGGCAGTTTTCATGATGCTTACACGACTTTTCAACCAAGGGAGGCCAGTCGAAGAAGTAAAAGTCATAGCTCCTCCAACAATGAATGCAATGGAGCAGCTTTTAGCCGTCCAGAATGTGATTTCTCAGGCGGAACAGTTCATCCAAGACGGAAATATCGTTCTCCTCAAGCTACGTGCCTTGATGCTGGCCATTTTTCCTCAGGTTTTAATCCTGCTTCCTTGCTCTCTCATCTGTATGCTATGGAATTTCACTTACTCCACAAAACCCTCCAAGTTCAAACCATTAAATTCAAGTAGTTAGTTCATTACCTGATTGATTCTATCATCTATGGATCAACTTTTTAATGCCATAATTGAATCCAAAGTGTTATGATGGTATGAACAGGCCACAGTGAAGTTTGCAGTTTCTCTTCTAGTGATTGCTTTAACTCTGGCCTTCCTACCCACAAAATACATATTTCTGGTGGTGTTTTTGGAGGCATTTACAAGGTATTCGCCCCCAAGAATAGCAAGCACAGAGAGATGGACAAGGAGAGTAAGGGAATGGTGGTTCAGCATTCCAGCAGCTCCTGTTATTCTTGAGAGGGAAAAGGAAGACAAGAAGAGGAAATGAAATTGATCCTTTGTATTGTAATTACATGTAGAGAAGTTGTAGTAATATATGTATTTTATTTTTATGGGTTTCGTTTTCATGCTGGCTTGTTAGGAAATTAGGAATGTAAATTCCCCGGATAGACAATCTGATGAGTACTTTTAATAATGGCAAGGGAAAATAATTGAGAAACTCCTTGTTTTTACTCGGTTATTCCTGAATTCTTTTTTTTTTTAAATTGTATATTAGAAAATGTTTGTTCTACTTTTTGCCTTGAGTGTATACATATAATATATTTTACCAACATGAAATTGGGAATACAAACTCATAATCTATCGGGGAATAGGTGTTAATTATTGTTGAGTTATGCTCATATGGTCTCGTATGTATGTATCGAACTTCCAATCTCTTGAGCATGTTCGCTTTGACAATTCTATTATTTAGTATATCTTGATATATAACAAAAATTAATTATATTATTAAATTTTGGTATAGATATAATTTTGTAGTTTTATTTGTCACTATGTGTTTCTTATTATAAGTTGTTAAAAGATTATTTATTTCACAAATATAATTTTTTTTTTTTGATATTACCTATAATCTCGTAAATGTTGGAAAGATACTTTAGAAATCGATTAACTTCAAATAAATTTGGTTGTTTGTTGTCGTTTGAAGTAGAGATCCTAACCAATACATGATTTCATAATAAATTAATGTTAAAAAACTAGTTTTCTTTATTTCTTTTTTCTTTTTTTTTTTCTTTTTCCTCTTTCTTACCATTAAACATCCAAATGAAAATTTTTGAAAAAAAATCTAATTAATTGCATTCATTTGTCTCTCCCGTTTCAAAACTGTGATGATTCTAAATAAGAGGACCATAGATAGATTGTGAGGTAATAAATTACAAAAATATCCTTGAATTTGGCCACCTTTTCTTCTTTAAAAAAAACCCTTATATACTTTCAAAATTTTGAATATCACCCTTAAATACATTAATAAAGGTTTTAAAAATCTCTTTGAGCAAACATTTAAAATGTGGATCAACGTGACAATTAACATCCCCAATTTGCATTCGAGTCAGTCTTTTTGATAGTAGCCCTTTGGTTGGGTATTTGAGCAACATTATCCATTGATAAATCTTCAATTTCAGATCTTTTTTTAGAGAAAGAGATACTTTAGGACCTATCATTCAATAGAAAAAAAAAACCATAAATGTATACATACCAATTCCATTCATTAATTAAGAAACAATTACATCTATCTAATTCACCAGGCAAGATGTTGAATTGGATGAACCTCAACTTCCATTGCACCAGCTCCTTTCATTTTATTGCAAAACTTCATCTCTTCTGAAACATACTCCAATACAAGTTGAAGAAATAGAAAAAGTTAAATAGAAAGATAAAAAAGTTGGAGATCATACCGTTACTATATATTCTATATGTTCTATAAAATTGATCGAAGTTCTTTAAGGTGACTGACTCAAGGAACTCGTTTTCCTACCGAAATTGCAAAAATTAGTTCCCCAGTAGAGATTTGTCTCGGGAACGGAACGAGTTTTATTGTTTTATTTGCTTCAAAATCAAATGGGGTCAAATAATCCCTCCCCAACAAAAAGGAAAAAGAAGAAAAAAACCTAATATTCGCTATAGTCGCAGAAATCATTAATTCCATTCAATGTTGAATTAGCGGACGAAAGAGAATGGATATTTGGAGCACCAAAAAGCAAAGAAGAATCGTTGTAGTTAAAAAACGGTTGATGATTAGAGCACAAAAAGTCCGTCGAATTCGGCCTGTAAACAGGGATGTTCGTTAGGTAAGAACTCGCTACTTGCGGTGGCGGTGGCGGCGGCGGTGGCTCGAACATCGGCGGAGCGAAACACGAATTAACCTGACCTTCCACCACGCCGCTGCCGCAGCAATTTTCATCCGTCGTCACAACGGACGACGACTCATTATCGTCACTCGTCACCACGACTTTGGAGCTAATGATTTTATTCTCCTCGCCACATTTCGTCGCGTTCGGAGAATTAGCTCCCGCTTCGTCATCGGAGCGAGACAATCCGGTGAGCTTCTGAACCAACGCCATGAAGTCTCGAGGATGCGTGTGGATGATTTTGGGAGAATGCGTGTATATAATCACCGGATGCCGCTGCGGCGGCTTGGCGCAGCCGGCGCCTACGACGCCATTGACGAGCGACGAGGTGGAAGAGGAAGACGAGGAAGGAGAAGAGGAAGACGACGAGGATTTTCTGATGAAATGAGAATCCTTATTGATCTTCAACGGAGGCGGACACAATCCATTGCCATTGCCGTTGCCATTATTGGCGGTGGTACTGCCATTATCCCTCTTCCCATGGAGCTGTTGAGGGCTCATAATTCGAGCTCCAATATTTTGGATTTAGGGTTTCTCAAATCCCCAAATCGATTTGATTCATTTCTTATTTCAATGAACCAAATTTTACGGAAACCGTGAACAGAGGCGGAGACAAAACGGGATCCCGTTCATATAGAATGTCCATAATAATACCCTGCATGCGGTACTATTATAGACAAAATTAACAATCTAACGAAATGCGGCCACGTGGACGAGCGATCGCGCGTAAGGGTGGTTTGGTAATTTATGTGGATAGAATCGCGGGGGAGGGACGAGGAGGAACTGCCAGGTAAGGTAACCGTTGAGATTTGGGAGATGACATGGCGGAATATGAATGGTAGTCGGGGAATTTGTTGGGGAGTAGGGACAGAAGTGTCCGTTCAGGCGACGGAGTAGGGTTCGCGCGCCTGGTTTTAGCCGGAAAACGGATGAATTTCTTTTTCTTTCTGTTTTTGTTTTTAGTAAAAATTCAATATCCAGTAAATAAAATTAATAGAGTTAGCGATAATTTTCGATAAAAAGAAAACAAATTAACAGATTTTCTAAATTTATTTTGGTAAAATATATGACACCGATGTTTTGATTGTACATGGAATGAACTACAAGATAATTATTTCATTTTTTTTAATTTACAATTTAGTGAACCAGGCCTATCAAAATTCTTGTTCAATTTCTTATCGTGTAATTATTAAATTCAAAAAAAAAATTATAATCTTTAAGGAGATTTAATGCTTCGGCCAGGAATGAAATATCAATATCAATAATTCAAATTTACGAACTATTGATATTTAGAAAACTTGTAGAAGTTTTACTAGTCACAAACTCTCATTTTAAACATAAATCAAGAAGTTAAATTAGACCAATACAGGTTCATTAATAAGAATAAGTATTAAAAATGTCCAAAAAAAAGATTTTTTTATAGTAATATTAATTGATAATTGAGCATTTAACAACAAGAAAGTGGTCAAACTGAGCATAAGTTAAGTGGTTAAGACACCTATCCCTGACCAAATGGTCATGAGTTCAAACCCCCAATCCCACATGTTATATTATAAAATAAAAACACAAAAAGTAAGAAAGTTATTAGTATGACTTGTGACGAATATCGACTAAAGTAAGAAAGTTATTAGTATGACTTGTGACGAATATCGACTATAGAGTTCCACTTGATTACTTACYGCTTGTGATGGACTAAATTTACCCGTTAACTTTTTTGTTATATAAAATATTTCAATTCTAACAATTTTGGAGAATTCAAATAAGAGGCTTTATATGACATTTTAAATTATGATAGATTGAGAAAAAATTAATTCAATGTTAAATCAAAGTGATAAGTTTTCAAAAAGAACAGAAGGTTAAATCAAAGGTGATACAATAGCTCTTCATATTTATATTTCAATAATTTATAAATTTAGAACAAACATTTATATCTAGGATTTAAAAAGTATACAAAGAGAACAAAATGAGTTATTTGACATGGGCCCAACAAATCATAAATATTTGGAAGTTTATTTCTTGAAAAAAAAATTGGGGAAATTATATGGACAGTGAATCGCATTAATTGAATTAAAAAGACTAATCAAGGATTCATTTGATTAGATATTTTACTGTGAAAAATAGTGCAATTTTTTTCCTTAATCACATGGCATGCACGTCCTCGAACCATGCCACTCGTACTTTTTTTCGTGTCTCCTCCAAAAGCGGGATTCATCAGTCATCCTCTGATGGTCCAATGGGCCTCTAACATGGATAATCATGTGGCCCACTCCAATCATTTATCCATAATTTAGATAAAATATTAACCTTTGCAAAAAATAGAACCTTTTTTTAGAAGATGCAAAAAAATATAATTAATAACTAAAAAATAGTTGCGAAGTATATAAAAAATTAACACGTGTAGTGTTTTTTAGTCCATTATGTGTAGCTGTTATTATAATTAATTAATATGATAAGTTAAAAGAGTAGTATTAAAACTTTTGAAATATAGGAATATTTTTTAAATTAAGACAAAATTTGATAATAATTTAGCCTTGCTAAATTATTATAGATTACTGTCTCGTAATAGGATTATAATTTATCAAATATCAATTTAATTGTTGATTTATATTCTTTTACTTTGAAAAGTGTCTTTTAACGTAAGAGAAAGTAGTAACAATTGCCTTATCCACCAAATAAGATTGATCAATCAACCATTTGTGTGTATAAAAACATAATAGTTTACCACTATTAAAGTTAATTGGTTATTGATAATTTTTTGAAATAATATATTTACAACTATTCATTCAAGATATTATAGATTTGTAATGATTTTCTTCTCATAAATAAGGAGATACACCCCATTTTTTAAGCTACACTTGGGAGAATTATATTTGAATTTTTGACCGATTAATATATATAATATCCATCGTATGCCTATAAGGTGATTAAATGATCTATTGAATGTCAATCAAATCATAATTCGATAACTTTGAGAACTAATGACCATATATAATTACCAAARCAAGCATAACTCAATAATAATTGACATAAATTTTTAGACAAAAGATTGTGAGTTCAATCTCCACCCCACATGTTGTACTAACAAAAAACTGACCATATATAATATATATTATTATTTAATTTTGTACATACAACCTGTCATATTCTAGGTAGATTATCTAATTGTAATAAAAAAAAAAGATAGATTATTTAATTAAGCTATGATATTTTGAAAAATAATAAATTATTCAAAAATATATGTGAAACGATCGTAACTTATTAGCTAAATACGTCTTGTTTTTATGGAGAGGTCGGAAGTTAAGTGGTACTTAGAAAAACCTACGAATTTCTCACTTAAATAAAAAAGTATATAAAAAAATTGAACTTAATCTAGCTGAATTGGTAATCATGTATTAGTAATCGAAAGATAATGTGTTTTAATTACACCCCACGTGTTAAAAGAACTTAAGACTAAGAAAAGGCTGAAGTGGAGAAAAAGAAGTTAGACGCTAAGTGGGCCCCACCCAGCGTCAATTCCGTTCCCTTCTTTCGAAGCTGTTACGAAATCGCGGGTTGGAATAACAGATATTGATTAATTAAAAGGAAAAGGAAAAGTCGGAGTTTTCAGTGAATTTTATTCCAATGTCCAATTCAATCATCTTCCCCATCCCCACAGCTTGCGGCTACAGCCGAGAGCCGACGATTGCTTCACCTCACTCCAGTTTATCAAATTCTATTCCAATTCAATTGGCGTATCATCTCTACTTTTCTCGCTGACTTGCTGTGGACTCTCTCTCTTTACCTTTCATCTCTTCATCTGTCACATCCACGATAACCATTTCCATTATTTGTGGACTGTAATTCCCACTCCCCATTTCCCCCCCTTCAATGTTCGAGCTTCTTCTTTAGCTAAATACCCGTCTTTACATCTCTTTCAGTCCCACCCCACTATGCGTTTTTCCCTCAGATTCCCAATCCTCATATTTATGCCGATTTGCGCGGCTTCCATACTCGAGGAATCCGACAACAGAAGCTTCCCCTTCCCGGTTTCATCTTTTCTCCGCCCGCTCCTCCACAATTCTGGTTCTGATTCGGGGGAGCAGAAATGAAGCCCTTGAGGCTCAACGTTGGAGGGACTCTTCAGCTTTTGCGGGGTGTTGCTTTGGAGAAGCCTTTCCTTATTTATTTGCTTCCTCTATTTCCTCTTGCTTGGGCTTTCGACAAATGGGTTTTTTCTTTCTCTAATTGGATTCCCCTAGCCTTTGCCGTATGGGCGACCTTACAGGTAATAATACTCTTTTCTTTTGTTTATTGGCTGTGTTCTCGTAGCTATGAGCCACTCTAATTTTGACTTTTCCACATTCTGTGAGAGTTTTTTCTTCTGGTCATCACGATCCAGCAATTTCTTATGACTCTGTTAGGCATAGCGTGGCCGAATTGTTATGACTTGCGAATTGCATTCGCGTAATCTATACAATTTACTTTAGCAAAATTGACAAAAGGCAAAAATCCAGCTTTAACGTGGAGTAGAACAAATATGGTGGAAGTTTTTCCTTCTATAGTTTCCTGTTCTGGACTCACAGAAAAATGGATTTTATACTTGTACTTTGTTACCTTCATATTTGATTATCAATGGGAGATTACAGAAAAGGCTAAGAGATTTGCGTTTGTCTGATAATTCTCTCTCGAAGTACTTCTGTTGTTATTACTTTCCGGAACTAGTATTTTGTAGCCATTGGTTTATAATTGTATGACTGTGTACAAGATTCTTCTCTCTTCCTTCATCCTTTTTCATCTGCTCTATGTTCACGGGGTGCAGCCATTGGGATTTTACGACGTGGCAACTAATGAAATCTTCCTTTTTTGCAGTATGGGAATTATCAACGCCACCTACTTGTGGAGGAGCTAAACAAAAAATGGAAGCAAGTTATATTGGACACCTCGGTAACATCCTTATCCAAAATTGGAAAAAATATTGAATCCCTTGATTGTTTTCGTCTTTTGTACTGTAATCACTTGCCTCCTGCCATCTGGATGGTCAATTTCATCAAATTTAGTCTTACTTCCTTCTCTCTCTCTCTCTCCAATTTACAGCCCAGTACACCATTGGAGCACTGTGAATGGTTGAATAAGCTGTTGACGGAAGTTTGGCCTAACCACATCAACCCAAAACTTTCATTAAGGTTCTCTACTATCGTTGAGGTGAAACTCTTATTCTTCTTCGGTTTAGTGTCCAACAACTTTTCAGCAGTATTGTTTGAGGTGGATTTAGCTGTAACTGAACTAAATAGACTCAATACATTCACACTACAAAATTTACCTAAAAGTTATTCCAGTTACTGTTTATCTATCTTGTTTCCTAACATTTCAACAAAATCTTAGTTATTCTTAGAACCCAATTGTTCTCATAACCTCCTGTTCAATAACACCCAATTGTTCTCTGAAAATGGCTTCATAGATTCTAGGGATCGAGTAGGTTGACTATTGCTTTCATATCGAATTGACTTCATAAGAGGATTCATTGCTGAGAAGCATCTAAATATTATCTCTACCAATATTAACTTTTGAAATTACATTCCTGCAGAAACGACTAAAACACCGGAGGCCAAAGCTTATTGTAAGTTATTATTGTACATAATGCATTTTGTAGAGTTGTAGCCTCATCAAAGTCCATATTGAGAAAGACAATATCCTGTATCCATGCAGGAGAGAATAGAATTATTGGAGTTTTCTCTAGGTTCATGTCCTCCTGGCTTGGGCCTTCGTGGAACTCAATGGTCAACTTCTGGTAATCAGGTTTGCTTTCTTGTTTAACCTTCTATCTAGAAATATATCATTTTAAATGAAAAAAAACCTATTGGGTGAACGTTCATTTTGTATTATCAGATAAAATATCCATATTTTCTTCCCCCTTTGCTCTCTACATCTCTCATATTTGAAAATCTCCAATATTTAATGCATAAAATATTAGTTAGAACACATTATTTGGCCACTTGCTTGGTCACATACACTTAAATGGAGGCACACGCTGTCTTAACAATAGAGTTAGTTTTGTTTTCCTGCAAGCAGTCTGACCGATGTCGTGGTATCTACTATGCTTCCTTTGTACACTTTTGCAGAGAATCATGCGCTTGGGTTTTGATTGGGACACAAATGAGATGAGCATCATGTTGCTTGCCAAGTTGGCCATGCCATTTACTGGAACTGCACGGATCGATATAAACAGCATTCACATAAAGGGTGATGTATGTGAAGTAGTTTCCTAAGCCCTCTTTCCTTGAATTATTTTTTACCTCAAAATGTATACAATCTGTCATCAAATTTATTCGAAAGAAATTTCAGATCACGAAAACTATTATGTAACCATCTGTTAAGTATTGAGCAATTTCAAATTGTTTGTTTGTTGCCTGGACTCTTGATACAGCTTCTCTTGAGGCCAATCTTGGATGGGAGAGCAATTTTGTATTCGTTTGTTTGTACTCCAGAAGTTAGAATAGGAGTTGCTTTTGGAAGTGGTGGAAGCCAATCATTACCTGCCACAGAGCTACCAGGCGTTTCTTCTTGGCTGGTAAATAATTCAATTCTTGTTCTTTTCTTGAAACAAAAGACACTTTGCAATGATGAGTGAAATTCCAGCTCAGTTCTTCATCACGTCAAAATATTGATGCGCGCTTCTGCATTTTTCAGATAAACACTCAAAAATAATTTAAAGATCTTTTACTATTTGGGTAGCAGAATTGGCTGTGTAATTTTTATTAATTTCGTACTATTAGATGCTTGTTTTCTTGGCTTTACAAACAAATACAGTGAGTCGTATAAAACACAACTTATCGAATATACATTTTGTTTAAGCAAATGTGAAAAAATAAATAAATATAAAAAATGGAGGAAGTTGAATGATCTAGCTTCCAACTTCTAGATTTATTTACTTATTTTATATTTAGTTTTTTTTTGGGCAAAGAAAATTATTTTATCGAGATGAATAAAATGGTCCTGTACTTGCAAATATATTCTTTTGAATGAAAATTGGAGGTTAATTGGTTATTATCACATATATCTGCCCCATTCTTTTGCAGGTTAAACTTCTAACTGAATTCATAGTAAGGACAATGGTTGAACCTCGACGCCGCTGTTTCTCATTGCCAGCATTTGACCTGAGTAAAAAGGCTGTTAGTGGTACAATATATGTGACAATAATCTCGGCCAGTAAGCTTTCCAGGAACAGCTTGAGAGGAAACTCTTCAAGAAGGCCACTGAGTACTTACATGAATAGTCCAGAAGAAAACTTAACTGATAAAGAAGATCTGCAGACATTTGTCGAGGTGGAACTTGATGAGCTAAGTAGGAGGACTACTGTAAGATCAGGCTCCAGCCCTGTATGGAATTCAACATTCAATATGATTTCACACGAAGATACAGGAACTCTTCGGTTCAATGTTTATGAGTCTAACCCAAGCCATGTGAAGTATGACCATCTAGCTAGTTGTGAAGTAAAGGTACTCTCACTGCAATTTTACTTCTGTCTCAAATTATGTTTTGATGCACTGTTTTGCTTGACATTTGATCTTCTCTGTTACTGGGAGTGCAACAAATGATAGGAAACATGCCATCCCAATTAGATTAACCTACACTAGGAGGATTAAACTTGGCAATAGGTAGTCGTAGTCTGGGTGGTTAGATAGATGTTATATTGTATGGTTAGTCAGCAACTTAGTTATAACAGTTGGCTGACAGGGGACGAATTATAGGTGTATATTTGGGAGGAAGAGTGGGAAAAGCCATGGTATGTTTATACAGTTTGCATGGGGGAGATAGGACCATTCTAAGAGTCTGGAAATTCATATTACAGCAATACTTCATTCTTCATTAGAACTATCCATCAGCAAACTACAGTTTGAGTGCTTATAATACTCGTTTAAGAAGAAAAAAGGACATAGAGATAAAGCAGACATCCAAGAAAACACATTCAGGCATGAATTCTGTTCATTATTGTTAATAAAAAAGTAATAAATGCTCTAAATAAATCCACGGACAAGAGTGACTTGATTTCTTAGATATCTGGAATTTCAGAATGTGACCACTATCTTTCCACTCCTTTGAGTTCTTTTTCAATGGGAAAGATTCATCCAACATGTAGAGAGTTGTACATTAATTTGAATGGACGAGAAATCTTGCTTCTATGAAAAGTCCATTTTCACTCTCAATAAAGAGGGGAAAGAAAGGGGACTAGTTCAAAGAATCAAGATAAGGTTTGGAGGATAAGCAGTCCAAAGAAGTGAGAAGTTGAAAAATATCGTATTGAATGGGCATGAAAATGGTTCTTTGAAACTAGAATAGGAGAAAGTACTCCCTTTTGAAGTATCCTTAACATGTGACATGCCAGATACGAACGAACTTAACATAACAGCTAATTCATATTCTTCTACTTGTTAAACAGATGAAGTATGCTGCTGATGATTCCACAACATTTTGGGCTGTAGGATCTGACTCTGAAGTAATAGCAAAGCATGCTGAGTTTTGTGGAAAAGAGGTCGAAATGGTCGTCCCATTTGAAGGCATCGATTGTGGGGAGGTATGATATTGGTTATGAATCTATGATTGCATTTACCTCATGTTTATGGATAATTTAGGTATACCATCCAACCTTTCTTTTTCAATTAGCATTTCTGGAACTTTCCTTGCTAACACTTGTTTGCAGGAGTTAAGGTTGGTGGCTGCAATTTTGATCATTGTCCTACTATATTCTTGTCCAGTTCAGAATTTGTTAACAAATCCGACATCCAGTTTTGGCCATTGGCTTGCTACCTAGGTTGTCATCAGAATAGCAGAACTGGGATATAAAATTGGGAAAATTTTTATCAACCAACATAAAGAGAACCATACTTTTGTTGGGGGGAATTCGTTTTTAGTCGTAACATAGAGGAATAAACTAAAAGATTTCTGCATCTTAGTGGGATATGTATTGTCATATACTAAGCTATTCAATTATTAAGAACATGTAAATAATTTTATTGAGTTCTTGGGAGGAGATACCTCGTCTCCCATCGGTTAATGGTTCACATGGCTCGCATAATTTTTATGTTAGATGTTAGACCTCCATCATTGGTTAATGGATCCTCAAATTTTCTAGTTGGGAAATTTCCTGTCTCACACTTGCTTTAACCTATTTTGTAGTTAACAGTGAAGCTTACTGTTAAAGAGTGGCAATTTTCTGATGGTTCACATAGCTCGCACAATTTTCATGTTAGACCTCCGCCAACTGTTAATGGATCCTCAAATTTTCCTTCAAGAACTGGAAGGAAGATCGCCATTACCATTGTTGAAGGAAAAGATCTAAGTTTGAAAGATAAAGCTGGGAAGTGTGAGTCATATGTAAAACTGGAATATGGGAAGGTAAATCTTTATACGTCTCTTCTGTTTAAGTTTTAGAACGGGAAGTTTAGAGATAAATATAATTAAGTTATGGTTAAAAAAAATTTCCCTCTATTTACTCAGCAACCTTCTTTTTTAGGCTCTCCAGAAAACAAGAACTGCTCTTTCTTTAAATCCTATTTGGGATCAAAAGTTTGAGTTTGATGAGATTGGAGGTGGTGAATACCTCAAGATAAAATGCTTTGGCGTAGATATATTTGGTGATGAAAATATCGGTAATGCACGAGTAAATTTGGAAGGACTTCTTGAAGGAATGGTCAGGGATGTGTGGGTCCCCCTTGAAAAAGTTAACTCAGGAGAACTAAGGCTTCTGATAGAGGCAATCAAGGCAGATGACTATGAGGGATCAAGGGTATGGTTTAGTACAATGCATCATGATGTTTCTGTCTTCTTATCGAAAACATAATAAACTATGTTTGCATAATTCAATCTGATCTCCACTTATGCCATATAGACTTAATTATCTGATGGAGCTCTGGAATTAAGTCTTGATGATTTAAGCTTGTGCATATGTGGCACACTTTATCACGTCTCAAGGAATTAAATTATTTGTCCTGATAGTTTGATTGAGTTTGGAGATATCTTTCTGCTCTCAGGGTTCAGCCATAAGCTCAAATAATGGTTGGATTGAACTTGTTATCATAGAAGCTAAGGACTTGGTTGCTGCTGATATCGGAGGGACAAGCGATCCCTATGTGAGAGTACAATATGGAAACTTGAAGAAACGTACGAAGGTTTGAGAAACTAAATATATTTTTTGGAACTTGTGTGTTTCTGGATATCTTTAATGTTGCTGCCATGTGGTTTGTTCTGCTTACTTCTCATTCTCACTTAAAAGTTGCCTGATCTCACCTCAATCTATCACATTTTTTGATGTGATGTCTTACAGGTTATGTTCAAAACTCTGAATCCTCATTGGAATCAGACCTTAGAGTTCCCTGATAATGGCAGTCCCTTACTGTTGCACGTGAAAGATCACAATGCTTTACTACCTACATCAAGCATTGGCGACTGTGTTGTTGAATATCATAGATTGCCTCCAAACCAAATGGCTGACAAATGGATACCCCTTCAAGGGGTGAAAAGAGGAGAGATCCACATCCAAATTACAAGAAAAGTTCCTGATCTAGAGAAAGAGAGAAGACTTAGTTCAGAATCAAGACCCGCCTCAGATTCCGAATCATCCTTTACCAAAGCACATCAAGTTTCAAATCAGGTGATGTGTTTTACTGTGTGATTGAGAACTGTAATTTTTACTTTGACAAGTTAATAAAGTCTGCCGTTCAATTGCTTCATCAAATCTTATTATAATTTCATGATCTTGAGAATAATCCTTGGTTTATTGGTTGTTTAAGTCATGAAATTGGTATGTAGTGTCTGAGGTTCCATTCTAACCAATGGGTCAATGCAAATAATTGTTCTTTTTGGGAAAGGAGGTAGAATTTTTTTCCATTAATTAAAGGAAACCGTGCGAGGAAAGGATAATTCGAAAAATTTACCCTAACTTATCCACCTATATAGGCAAAACTATTTCCAAAACCTATATTAATGTGCAAACTAATGATTTCAAGAATACCTTGTACTTCTTGATAGTCGAAATTCCAAGCATAAAGAAGAATCATGAATAGTTTAAAGGTTTCTCATGCCCATTGAAAGGAGAGAACTTCCTTTAGGTTGCTAGGAAATGGGATGAAATGGATAGTTATTCTTCCAGGGGCTTGATTGGAGAAGAAAAGATTAAATTGTTAGCTCAAAGCTCATGTTATTCGGTGACATTTGGGATGGTTTCATTTTAGGCTTCTTTTATAAACTGGGTTGAGGCCAAGATCTTGAGACATGAGCTGAATTCATTTACTACTACTGATACTGGTTGGTTTTATGATCATGTTATCTGTTCTCCCATATTAATTTTCGAGCTCAAAGCTCATAATTCATGCCTGAAATGCACCGGTTTCTTCTCAATGTGTGGCGTTGATGATTAAAAATTGAAATGATGTTTTTCAGATGAAGCAAGCAATCGGCAAGTTTCGCTCTTTAATTGAGGATGCCAATTTCGATGGACTTTCGACAACTTTGAGTGAACTAGAAAGCCTGGAGGAGCTGCAAGAGGAATATATACTACAACTCGAAACTGAACAAACGCTTCTCATAAACAAGATAAAGGTCCTTGGTCAGGAAATTCTTAATTCTTCTTCTTCAACGAGTAGGAGAAGTTCTGGAAATTGAAACCACTTCAGATAGGTACATAGTTGTGTAAGATTGATGAGTATAAGGTTAGGGCTTCTGTATGATGCATAATTAACCAGCCTTGTTTATGATAGTAAGCTTATTGTAAACTCAAAAACTGTACAGTTTAAGGTTGGAGAATATAGTAGGTGTAAATTGAAGTGATCTTGACTGCAATTTTGAGTTGAGATTGCAAGCATTCTTAATTTCATATGTGATAACAGAATTTAGATTTGCCCTATAAAGAAGAAACTTTTTTTTTTCATTGACAACCTACTGAACTGACCGCAGTTGAATCTTACTGTCGACTACTAAGTTTTTTTTTATAGATACAGAGATGAAAGAAGATAGATTTTTATTTTTTTCAAAAATTAAATACTTAGAAAAATTTAGTGATAGGGGAGATTTCTTGTTGTCCAGACAATAGGGTGCTATTTTTCTTTTTTATTTAGTTTTTTCTATATTATATTAATAAATAAAGGGGCTCAGTTAATCTTTTTCATCAATTGAATATAAGCTTGTTTGCTAAGTTTTTTAGTACTGAACTATTTTAAATATAAGATATAATTATCGGTAAGAAAAATTTTCAATCTAGTTTCTACATAAATAAAATATGATATTTTCTTTGACGAATAAAATTATGTATACTGATTTAGAAAATATATAAATAAATAATTTATGTATGGAGTTATTTGGAGAAAGAAAAAGGACAAATTTGTGCCCTTGCGTAGTCGTGTGTATTCCTAAATATAATGATCCATATTCTTACTTTAAGAAAAAATATTTTACTAAATTCTCGATTTGATCTTTAGTCTTTTAAAAATTTCAATTTAACCTCTAAGACACTAAAAAACTCAATTAAGTCATTCTAAAAAATTGTTTAAAATTATCAAAAAAAAAAAAATTGATAAAACAATCAATTATTATTTCACTAATATATATGTATTAAAGATTTTTTTTTTTGCAAAAATTTAGAGATATAGGGATCGAACCTCTAAAGAGTACATGTCAATCACCATTCACCACTAAGCTATGCTCATGTTGACATATGGATTAAAGAATATTTCACCTGGATACTATTTGACACATAAAATTAAATATGCACATCAACAAAATTTAATTCACAAATTAACAAAACTCATTTTTTCCAAATGACATATCTACATGACATGCCATGTGTTTAAATACGTCAATGAAACAATAATTTAATGAAATATTAGTTTTATGTTAATTAAATTTTTTAGGTAAGGACTTAATTGAAAATTTTTAATACATTAACATTGAAGATAAATTTAAGAACTTTAAAAGATTAAATACTATGAGAAAAATATCAAAGGTTAAAAGACCATTTAGAATACTTAACATATTATATATAAAGATAAAAATACTTACTTCTTTACTAACTTATCACTTATTTAGACCGAGTACTTGAACATTTGACAATGCATTATTAAAAAAATCTCATTTTTTATCGTGAACTCTTAAAAAGATAGTTTAACTAGTTAAGATATTTGGAAAAAAAAACAAAAAACCTTAAAAAAAATTTGATGAAGTATTTATCATATAAATAATATTTTATCATATTAAAAATGTCCTTAAAAAAA